ATTACATTTTGCTTACAATTTCGAAATAACTATTAGAAAAAAAAAGTATTAATTTAATGACATCTAAAATAGGTAATATGACAATAAGACACAAATAGATACATTATCAGACAGATGGAGGTTTCCGTAGACACTTTTTATAAATATTTATTCAAAATAATAAATAAATATAATTTTGTAGCAATGTTTTAGTCAGAATTGATTGTATTTCACTTGTTTAGAAATAAAATGTAATTCATATTAAATGTTTATATGCAAGCGCTTATATAATATAAGGAGAAAATATTTTAATAGAGGTATTTATTAATAATTATGCTATTTCATTGATTTATATTAACATAGAAATATTTAAAATTACAAAAGCTTAAAACTACTTTATGTCTAAAAACTTAAAAACCAGAAATAAGTAAGTAATAATTTCCTTAAAAATAGGATTTTTTTAGTACTTCAAATACTTTAATTGAAAATTAAGTCACTCATAGCCGTCTCGGACATAAGTAAATGATGTATTGTCATTTTTTTTTGTTGTCAGGAAAGCATGTACAATATTGTACAATAAATAAAAGCATACCTGAAATTCGAACGAAATAAACGCTTAGTTTTTAAAAACACGACCACAATTCGAAACAAAAACAACGAAAGCATTTAGAACTTTCGCCCCTTGGAATATAAATATTGACTGTACAAAAACACTCTTCCACGAAGTGATGTAGATTAAACAAACTGTTGTATAAACGTTTACACGAATGGCAGGTGTTGTACACAACACAGTCATAAACTTCATAAACCCTTTTATGTTACACTTTGGTATTACGAAGTACTCGTACGACGTATCTTAAAAAGTTCTTTTGGATCTTAGGATGTAGGATGATCTAATGTTTTTTTTTGGTATTCTTGGTATTTTACAGGGCAGAAAGCAATTTCCGATCAATTTAAGAAAATGTAGATAACATTTCTGTTATATTTAAGTATAGTCCTTAGCTTTACTGGAACTGTTAATATGTCAAGAAATTATTAACAGTTAATGAGAAAGACACAAATTATGATATACTCGGAATATTTTTTATTATATTAGAAAAAGTCTTATTTATTTTTACAACGTCCGCAATCCGTCTCAGCATAGCGTTAGAAAATATATTGATGAAATGTTGAGATTTGTAAATTTCCATTCAATAAATAAATTTCCATTCTATCAATTGAAAATAAAAGTTAAAACTTCTATGTCTCAAGAAAAAACGTCTGAACAAAGTAATCGTTGACAAGCTTCTAAAATAAGGTGAACAACATTATGAGCACTCCGAAGAAAAATAATCAAAAAATACACATTTAAAACCATTTACCCTTTGTAGTTTCAAACGTTTAACCTCAATAGCCGTCCTGCTGAAACTCAACGCATAGTGAACAAGAAAGCAGTATGTATTTTGTCTAATACAAACTTGGGGATCTTAGAGCAATCCAAATAAACCACGCAGAGAAAACGGCTGACGAATGTTACGCTAAATTTGTGCGCAACTCTGATGTCAGATTGTACTAAAGCAGTCAATGTGTACGTGTGTAGCGACGACCATTTCCACCATATGCAGTAGAAATTTTTGCGCCGCTTTCGTGCAGATATTACAGTTTAAACATAGGATGTATAAAATCAAAGTTCAGGACATATTTTGAACAAGCTCAGTTGAAGTTTCTAGCTGTAGTGTTCTTCATCAACAGCCTATATTAGTCCACTGCTGCACATAGGCTTCTCCAAATGTACGCCAATCAGATCGATCTTGGGCTACTAGCATCCAGCTCCTGCTAGCCACCTTGCGCAAATCGTCACTCCATCGTGCCTGAGGACGTCCTACACTAAGTTTGCCTAGACGCGGTCTCCACTCCAGAACTCGTCTACCCCACCGGTTATCGGTTCTTCGACAAATATGACTCTATGACACTGCCACTTCAACTTGTTAATCTGATGGGCTATGTCGATAACTCTGGTTCTCTGTCGGATTACCTCATTTCTGATGCGATCCTTAAGAGAAACGCCGAACAAAGCCATAGCGCGCTGAGCGACTTTGAACCTGTGGACCAGCCGTACCGTCAGTGTCCACGTCTCGGCTCCGTATGTCATTACAGGTAGGGCGCACTGATTGAAGACTTTCATCTTTAGGCACTGTGGGATCGACAATGTCAGGACTTGACGTAACTTCCAAACGCTGCCCAACCTACCTGAATTCTTCGTTCTGAAGTTGTTTCTACCTTACTGCAACTTCGAGAACGGCACCGTGTATTGCAATTGGTTCCGGTAGAACATGTTCATTGAACATGACCTTGGTTTTATCCAAGTTCATCCGTAGGCCGATACGTATAGAAGAGTCAGCCAGGTCATTCAGCATTTGTTGTAGGTCCTGCAGGGTTTCTGCCATGATGACGATGTCGTCTGCAAATCGCAAGTGAGAGATCGCCATTTATGTTGATACCACATCCTTTCCAGTTCAGCGTCTTGAACATATCCTCCATTGCATTAGTGAACAATTTCGGGGAAATAACGTCCCCTTGTCTCACTCCACGATGCAACGGCATGGGACTTGTTTGCTGATTCTGTACTTGGACAGACATGTGACATGACGTGGCAGCTTAGATGTATCGCCAGTCGACTGTGCAATGCTGCAGGGACTCCAGGACAGACCAGATTTCATTCGAGTCAAAGGCCTTCTCATAGTCCACAAATGCTAGGCAGTGGCTGATTGTACTCTTCAGTCTTCTGTATAATCTGCCGCACTGTGTGAATGTGGTCTATGGTGCCGTTTCCGCTCCTAAACCCAGCCTGTGCCGGTGGTTGGAAGTCATGTCAGTGTTCTTGATGCTTCGAAGCTGGGAGCGAAAGATGGATCATAGCACGTGGCAGCTTCCAGCAAAGCCATTGCAGTTAATTTCCAGTGCAAAGGTTATATCAGCGGAAAAGGTATGTACGGAAATTTAAATAAGCGATCGGTTTGCTATCATTATTTAAGACATTTTACCCCGACCAATCATAATCTGTGGTGTCGGAAAGGTGTTGCTGTGCAACACAATAAAGTGTGTGCAAGTTACAAATATTATTTCTTGTAAACTCTGCAAGAGATGTTTAACGTGAAGATATAAATCGTTCTCGAAGCGTAGATAAAAAAATGACATCCCTGTTTCTGTTATAATGAAGCAAAATCTCTTTAAACAATTCATGAAACATTCCTTGGTTGGGCTCGGGAAGGACTGAATGTGGTTTCTAACTGGTTGTCAAGGAACTTATTGACCCTGAAGGTCGCTAAAACCAAATTCATCCTTTTTTCTCCTGGACGGCAAACTCAGCAAGACGATCTCAACTTGACTTCCAATTCTTTGTTGCACGAGTGAATTTTACAGGATTTAGGAGGTTCTTACTGTGCATTTGCCCTTTATGCAATCAACTGTTTTCCGTAAGCATTCCCAGCTTCAGTTTGATGGAAAAGCTTATATTAACAGACGTCACAAAGGCACTGTTTGTCCCTTCCTTCCTTTATAAAGTGAGCTCTCAAAAAGATTTTTATTGAACACAGTCCTTTCCTTTTATTCAACGACAAAAAGGGATTGTTAAAGCAGACTTAGCTCATGTCTACTAAAGCTAACAAATGATGGGACAGAGGACCTATTGCTCACCACAGGACCTAATGATAACATACCGCCAAAATATCAGCTGTCTGATATACACATGCACTTTTATTGACACGTATAATCATTCACGCTCACGTTTACATACGCATGCACTCACACATACACTCAAACCAAATACATACACTTACTATATAGACTCACGTTCAAACACACTGTTTTATTTTACCTTTGATATTATTATTATATTTTAGTTTTACTAAACATTCACATTCATTACATTTGTTAGTTATTTTTGGCAATTCGAGGTTGTGGAAGCTTGATGACCTGTAACACAGTAGGTCTACTCTATTTCAAGGAAAAACGTAATTTCGATCGAAATTTCGCACGTTCCTACTCTGTTTCCTTTTCATTTCGAAAATTAGTTCTTCCGAAAATAGTTTGACAATTAAATTCTCCAAACCTACTCTAATTCACAAAACTTTCGAAGGAAAAGTTGAATTCGACAAATAATTGTTCGAAATTTTAACCTCAAATTGACGAAATGAAAAGTGTTACCATTTCATTTTCGTTTTGAGATGTTTGTTTTAATTAAGCCTAAAATGCTTGCAAGAGTATTTTTAATCAAGGCTTCTTAGCTCGAGAATCATAATAGCATGTAAAATTAACAAATAAACCATTTTCTTATTATTTATAGTAATTCCGATACTTCAGAGTAATAAACGACAAATTTAGGTTAACACACAATATATTGTATCAACTCTACAAATTAGTCGGCTAACACTGTCAATGAAGGTTCTTACAATGTCATCAAAAAAATTATCGTAAACTACCTATATTGTTTCCAAGTAAAAAAACGTAATCTTAAAAGTAGAGATAAAAAAACGCACAAACATGACTCATTCCATTCGTTCACGAAAACTCTTTGTGGTTCCGAAGTTTATGTGCCCGTTCGAAAATGAAATAGAGTAGAGTCAATGGCGAAATTTCGTTTAAAATTCGTTCTTTACCGAAATTTCGTTTCGGAGAGAGTAAAGCTCCAGGTATATGTGTAATTGATACAAATATTTGTGATGAGAAAATAGACGACTTTATTATCATTATTATTATCTCCTACACCCAAACGCTAACACAGCAATTTTTCTTCTAAAATTATCTATGTTATTAGAGCAAAACCACCTCTTTTAAAGAGTAACGACTGAATTGAACAGAATCTTAAACTTTATATCTTAGACCTAAATGCTCTCAAAGCACTGTTTCATCCTACGATTCCCCTGATATTAGAACGATAAATTACCGAGTTATCATACTGACTATATTCGATGCGTTCAAAAGAAGCTATATATCTATGTATACGTATCGCGTTTTCCCGGACGCCTGCCTGCAGAGCGACACGGGAGAGCGTGAGGGACGCACGTGACGTCGACGTGACGAGCCCGCGACGTGGTCGAGTGAGTGTGGTGTGTGATGGATCTGTGCTAGTGGTTTACTTTAGACAAGTAAGTATTTTCCTCTGAGTACTTCTATTTGTTTTAATAATAATTTAATCGTGTTTTATAATTATAAGTGCTTGGGAAATGTAACTTTTTTTTAAATATTAGTAGTAATAATTGTATTTTTTTATTAAATAGGTTTTAGTTTTAAGTATTTTTCTTTCTTCTCCCAAGTAAGAGGTTTTGTATGTTTTAATAATTTATTGTGTGTATGATGGAAAAATTAGAATTGTTTTATTTTTCAACTTAACTGTGTTATTAGGATAACATATCCATCATCGGAAAAAGTCTACACACTAAGCCACTAGGCACACTTAAAACCTTCTCACATAACAGTTGATTCTGTGCTAGTGGTTTACTATACGTGTTAGACAAGTAGAGAAACATTTGTTTGCTTTTTTTTCTATTATTTACGAAAGACTAGTTCTGGGTAAATAATCTTAGCAGAATTTTATATGAGCTTTATTATTATGTTATTGATTATATTTATGTAAAGTACAAGTAGCAAAGAAATGAGTTAAGTTAATGAATACGGGATTAGGATAAACACATGTTGTGTTTCATGAAATTTCTAAAAGTATAAGGATGAGGTTAATTTAGCTTGACTCTCTATTCAGTGATTATAGTTCTGATTAACTATTATATAACAAGAATAAAAATAATACGAAATAAGTATTACAATTAATAAAAAAGAATACAGTTAATGGCACAATTGTATAAAAAAACCTACACATATGGGAAAAAGAATACCACTACTTTAGTTTTCCTCTATACGCATTTCGGGAGATGAATAATTTTGTAGGTTTCAGTTTTCTTGATAAATGTTAGTTCGTAAGGCAGAAGATGAAATCAAACTGCTTTAGATAGGATTTGAATCTGTGACCTTTCGGTATAGGGTATAATAAAGCTACAGAAGTTTTCAGAACGACGCAGAATATTTAGTACGACGAGGAAATATTTACCATACCTACTTATAAAAATGTGGTAGTTATGTCTTCTGCATGTTAGGCTTTCGTATTATTATTCAATTATCTTATCATAATTTAAGAGAAGTAGGACATAGCGGATTTCCCGCTTGATTCGGACCGCCAGTCTGGGGAAGTAAGCTCCACCTTACAGGAGATCGCAGTAAAATAACACTAATTTTTGGTAGTGTTGAGTTTCTGTCGGCGAGTAAGGTTCCAGGGCTCCAAGGGCTAGGGGATTGGTTCAGGGTAGACAACGGTGTGAGTGATATTTTTGGTATCGCAAGCATCTTCAGGCTTTGTTGGCCGCTTACCATCAGGTCATACGCTTGTGTAGGTAGCACAATATAATAAAAAGACGTTTAGCGTTTTAAGATAAAAAAAAGGTTGTATTTTGAAGAACAACTATGGATATTTTTATTGCGAAAATAATACTTTCAGGTGATGAATTAACGTGGTGCAGGTTTGTTTAGGAAACCTTACCTTTTATTTATTTATACTTTATGGCACAAATGAGTGTACAAGTGGCGGACTTAATGCCATTAGGCGTTCTCTACCAGTATTATAGCAAATATTTAAAGATGGTAGTGCAAAAAGAATTGATCAAAATATTTAATATAATTAAAGTATATTTACAGAAACAATACGTACTACATATATAATATATACTGCATAAAATACATATCTATAAATATACATAAATAATAATAAAATGTTTATATATATAATGTTAGATATAATTATTAAACTCTACGTTAGATAAGCAAAACATATTATTTTTCTAATGTTTTGATGACATTACATTTCGTATGTAACGTTATGCCAATGTTGCCATTTTCTATAATTTAAATATGACTTGTTAGTACGCGGAAACATTTTCGGTGTAGCGGAGTTTGATATCTGAATGATTAATCGATGTAATGTCGATTGATCATTCGTATTCAAGGTGGTTGCATAAACCTAGGCTGTATGCCGTGTTGGCTGTATGGTGACATAGGCTTTGCGAATCTTATGGGATGGTGTGTGCACGTCTTTATGAAGTATTGGCTATGATACCGTTCATAGACAAGCTGCATAAAGACGTTAATCTATGAAAAGTGACAGATGTGTGGAGGTAGAGAGTTATAAAAGAGCGCTCCACCTTAGTTCGAGTAACTTTTGCTGCGATTGTCGTCCTAGTTGGTGATTCAATAAAATAGCGAACCTCTGCAGAGTTGTAATTTATTATAAGACTAATAATAATAAATATTTAGATACATACATACAAATCTATATTATATCACGACGATGTGGAGGAGGAATGTAATAAATAATGAAGTACGGAGCGTTTAAAAGCTAGTTTCTTTTATGTATTACTTTAAATTTTGACACGAAATCACTGATCTAAATATCAGTGAATATTGGTGGGGGAAAACCAGGAGATTTTCCCAGGTGGGTGGGTACTTAGGTAGGTAAAAAATAATCTCTTAAGGGTCACACATAACTTACCAAGTTAATCTCGCATTACGGATTAGTTGATGACTTTAAAAAAAAAAAGAAACATTGGTCTTTTAAATCAAAAATAAGATTTTTTTTTAAAAACTTCGAAGAAAAAGAAAACTCTTTACACTACAGACGGACGTGGGACGAAAGAATTTATATGCTAACCGAAGTCTTAAAAAGCTTGAGATAAAAAAATTGGTCACCCATCCAATGGCCACTACAAAACTTACTTAATTAAACCATTGGTACTTGGGAGCCCGATGGCGCAAGTGGTTCCACTGCGATCGTTGAATTTAAGCAACTTTAGCAGTGGTCGGTAATTGGATGGGTGATGTTGAAATTTATTATCTCGAGCTGTTCCTCGCTTCGGAAGGCACGTTAAACAATTGGTCCCGGCTGCATCTGCCTGCAATCGTTAGCATCCATCAATCCGCACTGGGCACACGTGGTGGGTCATGGCCCAATCTCCCTATGCCATACATAGGGAAGCTTATGACGAACCCCTACAAACCAACGAAAGACTAAAGGCTTTATAAGCCAACCTTAGCTTTGAAAAAGCTCGAACTAAAAAACATGGTTACCCATCCGACTTCTTGCCATTACAAAACTTGCTTAATTACAGCATTGGTAATTAAAGACCTAACGCTTAACAAATACGATATATAGCTCCTCTCGATCTCAGAAGCCATCGCTCAAGTCATATTATTGAATTATCACAAACGTCAAATTCGATGCCATTGAATTGCCCACATTCTGATGGTCCTTCCAGCCGGATTAATGATGAGATATTTCGCCAATAGCGTGTATACAGTCAGGCGCTTATAATAATTGCCCTCGTGGGATCGATTTACGTGTGATTTAGGTTTAGGCGGAATTACTCTCAACCCGAATTGATATGGTAGGATTTGTTCAATGAACATACCAAAACTGATTTATTTACAGATATATAATAATACTGCTAGGAATATCTGAATTGAGCATGCGAAGTGCGAAGCAGTGATATTCAATTCGAATCGGAGTGCAGAGCAAATGTATCTAGACTTGTTGAAATGAATCCAATAATGTTCTACTCCAGTATTCTATTCTCATAATTTGCTAAAGGCATACGGTATACCGCTTCAGAGAATGAGAAAATGATGTCAGTTTATACTACTGCATTTATACACTCTTAAATTAATAAACCTTGGCAAAAGTTGCTCGTCTTATACAAGAGCATATCGTATACGTTTCATAATTTATTAATTTATTAAAAGCTGCAACATTTTCTTTCACGTCCTGTTGATAAATACACATTTTTTTTAAATAAAAAGAAGAGAACAATCTCATTACGTTCACATCATATTATTTTAATTTAAAACCTGTTTTGTGAAGGCGTCAGTACCAAAAATATCGCGGGCCATTAGACACATTCAAATTAAAAGAATTTTTAATTAACAGGGTGTTATTGACGTGCGGGTTCACGATCCCGACGGGCGGAGAGATAAATTGTAACCACGAGTTGAATCATTAATTGATGTTGTTTTTACATTGTATACCAACTTTCAATAAAGAGTTTAATTAGGTAACATTCTGTATCTTATAAGATGATATTGAAAGCAGTTATTACAGATATTTGGTTAGTGCTAGGATAAATTATTATAACTTTATATTAATATCGTAGTCTATAATAAAAAAGAGAACTACACAAATTGTGAAAAGAAAATGTACTTGATATTTTGTTTCCCCATTTTCTTTTCCCTGTTTTCACTTTCTTTTTACTATTTTTATAATATCATTTACTCATCGATACCATATTAGAAGTTTGAGTCTAATTTGTTTCCAGGAAAAAATAACAAAATGATTATGTTGTGATTATGCGTGGTGAAAATTGGTGGTGTAAAGTTTTCTATATTTACACTGGAACATTTCGAAATATTTTTTCTTTGTACAAAAAAAAAGCGACCAATCATCAGAAGATGAGACAAATATAATAAAAAAAAAGTAAATTATTTTATAAACAACTTTCGTAATATCTGGTTAAGGCCTAAAGATTAATTAAGAGTCTTTACTTCGGATACGAAATATGAAAAAGGTTGAAGCCTTTCAGCTCGTTTTTAGGCCTCGATTTATTGTAATGGCTGGCGGGCTAAAGGCTGTATACCCTTAGGCCTCGAGGCTACCACATACGAGTTACGTCTCAAGGGCAAAATAAAAAACAAATATTTTTATGGTACCTTTTAAAAAATGTTCTGTCTGCGATCGTGAAAGTTAAGCAACTTTCGCTATGACCAGGCATAGGATGGGTGGCCTAAAATGCATTAACTTAAACTTTTCCGTGTTCAGAAGGCACGTTGAGCCATTGGTCTGTACTGCATCTGCAGTCGTTAGCATCCACTAATCTGCACTAAGTCACGACCCGCTATCTATATTACATTAAACTCAACCTCAAAAGAATTTATTCAGTATGAGCTGTTTCAAGCACTCATGAATGTATAGAAGCTTTGCAATCGGTTCGTAAATCTACCACAGGAGACCTTGTACTTAGAATTTAACTATTTATCCGTGCGGTGATGAGGAAAA